AAATCATAAGAAGAGCAAAGCTAGATGTTGACATTGCTATTTTAGGCTGTGTGTTTTCCATATGCTTCTTGCTTTCCCTGTCACAGGTGGTGGCAGCAATATTGGTGTGATTGAGGTTATGCTGGCACCACTCGCACACAGGCGCACAATGGTGTTAGCTGGGCAGAAAGAGTGGCATCTCTGGCTACCGGGCTGGGGGCGACCTTTACCATAGGATGAAGTAACCTTGCATTCGGCTGCAAGGTGTACTGTACGTACACAGGTGCTGGTCGACGTCCACTTTCTGCTTTTCTTTCTTTCTTTTTTTTCTTTTTAAAAATAATTTCCCCTACAGTGAAACCAACTGACTCCACTGAGTAAATTGGTCTTCCAGTCTGGTGGAATTGGGAGTCTTGACATGTGAAACCAATTTAATGTAATACAAATTGACTTTAGAATGGTTTCTCTGTGCTATTTTTTGGAATTCTTTGAGATACTAGAGATACCTTTAAGCCTTTGATCCTATTTAAAATTTGTATTTATTTTTCTTTGGAAATAATATATTGTGTCTGTGCAGAAAAAAAGTAGCAAAAGGATTGCTTTACTCCAAGAGGAGGAGAGATTGTCTTATTAGGACATTTAAAATAACAGACTGAAGTAAACGTTAGAATCCTGTTTAGAGCTATTCTGCACAGTCTTAAGTACTGATCTTTAGAATCTAAAACTATGTGTGAACATGTACTAAAGTAATTTAAATGTTTTATGCTTAAAATGACTAATGATTGTGGTCGGATTGGGAAAAGTAAGATTGGCAAATCTTGATTCACAGAAATGTTGTTAATTATATTATTTTCATAAATGAGCATTTTCATTTTGTAATATGGTTTAACATCCTTGTTTGCCAAAGAAATTTCATTTGGCTGTGAAAATTCTCTTTGCTTGCAGTATCTGTTTCTCTTCCTAGGCTCACGTTGGTGACCCAAGCCTATTGTAAACAAGTGATTATCTCAAAGGGAGATGCCAATGGAGTAACAATTTGTTAACCTTACATTTTCTGTCTGTATATTTTTTAAAAATTCGGTAGTTTCTGGAAAAAAAAAAAAGAAGGGTTTGTAGTACTTAACCCTATTTATTTCTGTATATTATATAGTTAATTAGTTTTTGGAATAAATGAATTTCAGTATAACTTTGTGGTTAAATTGCATTGCCTTTTGTGTTTAGGCTTTTTTTTTAAATTAACATTTAACAGAAACATTTGAAATAGAATTTGCATGTCTACTTTAATTAACTTAAAGACTGATTTTAATCTGACTATGACACTGAGCATATTCTTTTAATTACTCATAATTTATCATGTTTAATTTAATATTATAATTAAATTTAGCAGTTATAGTTTAAGATGTGCCATTTTGTCCTCTGTGTGTCTGAATGAAGCTATAACATTTGCCTTTTTTTGCAGGTTTTTCTTTGGAATATGGATAAATATACCATGATTCGGAAACTAGAAGGACATCACCATGATGTTGTAGCTTGTGACTTTTCTCCTGATGGAGCATTACTGGCTACTGCATCTTATGATACTCGAGTATATATCTGGGATCCACACACTGGAGACATTCTGATGGAATTTGGGTGGGTACAGCATGAATTATTATAGTCTATAATTCATCTCTATCGTCAGCATAGCTTTTAAGAAGTTACAGGAATGATTAGAAATCTAAAATTGAAATCTAAAATTACATGTGAAATCTGAAATTACAGTCTATGATCATTTAAAATTTTGGTATTATTTAGGCCCTTGAATAATGCATATAATTTCTATAAATCACCCTCTTGATAGAGATCATGTTACTGCTATTTAATGACAGTACATGACCCTATAGAAGTGGTCATTATATTTAGGTTTCATGTTAGGGAAGCATAGTTAAAAAGTGAAGTTGGACTTAATCTTAGTGTCATCACCCACTCTGTGAAAAGGAGGTTAGTAATTAGGTGAAATGACTTCATTTAACTTGAGTAGATCAGCTCTACTCAGTCTTCTCAGTTGCATTCATTAAGGCCACTTTAAACGTTATTCAAAGACGGATGTACTTTGTACCTGGGTAGTTTTGTTTCTTGAAGTGACTGATTTCCACATGTCTTTGACCTCAGGCACCTGTTTCCCCCGCCCACTCCAATATTTGCTGGAGGAGCAAATGACCGATGGGTACGATCTGTATCCTTTAGTCATGATGGACTGCATGTTGCAAGCCTTGCTGATGATAAGTAAGTGCATGAATTACAGCTTGACCTATTTATTATTGTCTTTTAAAGATTTCCTTTTATTCTTCCACATAATAAAGACATTCTTAAGGCTGGGGGGAAAAGGCCTTTCTGTAGTTTGGGTTTTAATGTCTCTCTGTCTAGACAAGACCTTGAGAGATGCTGGTGTGTCTTAAAGAATTGTGGCCTGAACAGTATTTATGTAAACTTAAGAAGATAATGCATGCCTTTCCCTGTGTTCTTTGTTTGTTAACTAGTTTAGGCAAACTGGGTAGATTTTTTAGTTAGCTTTCAGCTCAGCTGACAGATTTTTTTTCAGTAATACAAAGAAAGGTTCAAGCAGAAGGACATTTTCAATAATGCTAAAAAATGATCATTTGTATCCACTGAAATTGAGACTTTAAGATGAAATTTTACATAAGAGAGAGATGCTGCTTATTGGTGAGAAGCAGAAATTAGCTGTAGCCATTCCTTTTTCTCATACTTTAAATCATACAGTGTGCATGGATCACGTAAGCAATTTGGTCACATCAATTCAGAAGGCAACTCTTTACTCAGTGTTAGCAAACATGAGGAGAGTTCTTTATTTGCCAGCAATCATTGTTCTCCTGTTTGCTCAGATAGGCTCTGAATATAAGTTCTCTGCTGTTCTTTGACATACTATGTGTAAGTGGAAAGGATTTATAAACATCTGGCAAGGAATCAAAACAGATCAGATAACTGATTTTTAAGTGTAAGAAAGTAAGGAGAAAGCTGGTTGTGAGCATTATAGATCTGAACACTGGGAAGTGAAGGCAACTGTGCCTTGTAGTTTCTTAAGTGTGAGTTGATCCAAATTACCCAGTTGGTATAGACTAGAAAATGTTTTATAAAAGCAAGTTACAGTAATGGCTGCAGTGGTGTGTGTGTGTGTGTGTGTGTGTGTGTGTGTTTTGTGACTCAGCATGACGTGGTATTTCTTTCTGAATTTTAAAAGTTGGCTTTTAATTTAAATTTCCTACTAGATATTTACTGGAAAATTTATTTCTTTTCCAGAATGGTGAGGTTCTGGAGAATTGATGAGGATTATCCAGTGCAAGTTGCACCTTTGAGCAATGGTCTTTGCTGTGCCTTTTCTACTGATGGCAGTGTTTTAGCTGCTGGGTAAATGATTTTTCTGTTTTCTTTTAAGAGGCAATTTAAGGTGACTTTTAGTCAAAGCAGCCAGTATTTTATTGTCAGTAAACCATCCAGAAGGGCTCTTTACAGTACTGTTACTTTGTCAGAGAGGAGATCATTGGGTACGTCTCCTTATTAGGTTTTAATGTGCAGTTTGTGGCTCCACTGCAGAGCCTTGGTGATAGTTGTTTGAACTGTGTGGATGTTGAAATTCATGGATTTGGGTGACTCGGCTTGTGTTTTTTGTTTCTGTTTAGGACACATGATGGAAGTGTATATTTTTGGGCCACTCCAAGGCAAGTCCCTAGCCTTCAACATTTATGTCGCATGTCAATCCGGAGAGTGATGCCCACCCGAGAAGTCCAGGAGCTGCCGATTCCTTCCAAAGTTTTAGAGTTTCTCTCCTACCGCACTTAGAGGACACTGCCTTCCCTAGTAGTAGGGACTGACAACACACCTTTACAAAAACCTCAAGCTTTACTGACTTCAAGGTTTAGGAGATTTATTTAATTTGATACATCCTTCTACTGCATTAGTTGAGCTTTTAAAATATTATTTATAGACTGTAGGAGAAATACTTCTGAACATATCAAATGTAAATGTTTTTCTAAAATTTAACTGTGAAAACATATACATACATGTATATATTTAGATATAAGCTGCTATGTGTTGAATGGACCCTCTTGCTTTTCTAATGATTAGTTCCAACGTGTATATATTGCTTCAGTAGAGCCATGATACTGTATCTTTGCTGTAAAGTGGAAGGACCTTTTTAATTCTGGGACACTGCGTTAGGTGGTAAATACTAACTTAAGAAAGATGAATTGCCTCCTACAAAATGTGTATTTGGTTTAGGGGTGAGGGGTGGTCAGACAACTGACCTACCGGTAAAACACAGTTTTTGTCTAGGGAAGGAAATTTTGTTTTTCTTAGGAGCAGGATCTGAGAGGTAGAATTTGAATGTGACATTATTAAATAAAAAACAACCAGGATATAACTAGAAAAAAGTTTCCCCCTAACTACTGCTGCAAGCCTTAATTTTGGAAAGCAGCTTGCTACTTTAACCTCTGTGGTATAAAGTGTTATGAATTGTAGTCAATTTGAAAAATCCATCTACTGTATTATTGCTAAATATTTTGTTGTTTGTACTAAGGGACAATTATTTTAAGACCATTGGCTTTTTTTTTTTTTTGGCTCATTTTTTTACACATACTCTATATTTCTGCAGGGGATAATATTGGTGACTTGCCAAAGAGAAGCAATACAGTATATCTGCTTTTACCTTCTGTTATTTATCTTACCTGCAGATATTAAGAATGTATGCATTATGTAAAATGCTTGATTATATATTTTTGTTGAGTTTTTTAATTAAAGGCTTAAAAAAACAGTATCGCAAATGTTTCATCTCGGAAGGTTTCATGTTTTTTGGTCTATCTCCATTGTAAGATTGATGGAACACCACAAGCAAATTTATAAAGAAGGGTAATGAAATAACACAAGTAAAAGGCACTGCTTTAGAGTGAATGCTTCATGAATGCAGCCACTTACATTGGTTTGTTCTGGGAGAACTGTTACAGAAATGCCCACTTTAAAAGCGTAGGATTGCTTCTCAGCCTTTTGGCTAAGAACAAGCGTAGTATCTGTTCTTACCAGTTTAATATCTGATACGTCCTCTATGCGAGGACAATGTATTAAATGGATTTTTGGAGCAGGGAGTTGGAATAGGTGCTTGCTCCGTCCGCGACACATGTCAGCCTGGTATTGCAGTACTTTCAGGAACGGTGCACCCCTCTGGGGAAATAAAGCTGTTGTTAAAAAAAAAAAAAAAGCATAGGAAAGGAAAATAACAACTGAAGAAAAGAAAATTATGATCTTTTGGGGGAATGGGCTTATAGTAAACCTTTCTGGTTAAAGTAACCGTTAGGAAACAAATGTGGTGTGGGCCTTTTGAGGAGGCAAAATAAGCAAAACTTCTATAAGCCAGGTGCGTCTTGAAGGCTTGTCTCCTCTGAGAAATTCATTTGGAAGTTCTGAGAGTTGGCTCTTTTCAGAGTGTCCAGACAATAAATTTAAAAGTCAGTGGAAAATCTGCCCAAGTTACTTCTTGAGAATCGCCTGTATTTTACAAACAGAATCACAAAAACATCATTTATCTTTAAACCTGTTACTATTTTTTTCATTTTACCTTGTTACATATCTGCTTTATAATTTTGAAATAATAAGATAATACCCTTCATACCATTAAATTATTTACTCTTCAACCAACATGTCCAGTTAAGATTTTGTCTTTGGAAGATACATTCTTTGAGAAGGCCAGAATTGTTTGCTGTCTCCCCATGAAAAACCATAGTGCAAAGTGAAAGGAAGACTGTAGAATATAAGTCAAGTAGAAACATACTTAAATGTTCCATTTATTTAGCAGGAAGAAGGAACAAACAGGATGATCATGCTTTAGACTGATTGACCAAAGGAAGGTAGGGGGAAGACATGGTTGGGATCCTAATGTGGGTCAGATGCTAGCTACATGATTTTGAAATGGTACTGCTGCTTTCATGTCACGTCGTTTGGAGAACAGGCAGGAGATCCTTTATGCTCAGATTTCACTTCCTATTTTAGGACTCCCTAGGGGTACATGTGAACATAAGAAAATACCTCTCATTCTCAGTAGCCAAGCCATCTTTTAACAATTTCTGATGATTTCAAATGTCTTTTAGACCTGTGACTTGACCTTAGGTTAGCAAATCTTAAATTTATGATCCTTGAAATTCCCTGCCTGCTTGTGACTGAGGTAAAGTTGGATTCAACTGGTTTGCACTGCCCTCGGGGCAGCAAGACCAAAAAAGGCCGGACCACAACTGTAGCATGCTTATGGGTTGAGGCAGTGTCTGATGCGTGCAGAGGCCTTGGCTGTTGGCCAGCCGGTAGCAGGGCAAGAAAATACAAAGTACGAGAAGTAAAACATTGTCTCACAAGCCAGAAACCACAGAGACAGTGAATCCAACCTCCAGTCCAAGCTCCAGATTAATCAGAGTAAAGGTTTGTGGTGACAAACATCTTGTGCAAGTAATTTTGACAAGGTTCTGGCCTAAGATGATACATTTGAACTGTAGAATGTATAGATTATAAAACAAGCAATATCTACAGTAGAGTGATTTATGAGTACTGTTGTATGTTGGTTTCAAAATCTTAAGTAAAGCATCAGTTGGTGTATACTGGTTTTTGTTGTAAAATCCTTTCCTCTCAAAAGTGAGCTGTTGGTAGTGAGCAATGAAGTTCAACCAGGAGCAATGGTCATCATAACCATGGCTTAAGTTTACAGTAGGATGTTTGGAAGGAGTGAAGATTAGTTAGCCATCTCTACCTGCTCTTTCCTCTGTAAAGTTTGCCTTTAGCCAAAAGCAAAACGTCTGGTCAAAACCAGGTATAAAGTGACCTATTTGTATTACAGGTGTTTGGGTAGCCTCGTGAGGTTGTGATACGGCATTTTTACAGGTTTATTTCAACAGTTGAAGAATCCAGGGGCGGAAAAAAAGATTGAATGAGGCTAGGATTTGGGCAGGAAAAATGAGCTAATTCAGTTCTGATGAACTCCAGCATCATTTCCCCCTTTAAAGACTGCAACTATGATTATCCTCGTGGTTTCTCTTAGAGATCTTATAGAAAACTAGGAACTTTTCTCCACCTGTGATACCACAGAGAAGTTGCCCTTTTGGTCTCAGTAAACCCTAGACTTTGTTTAGGAAAATCTAATACGGTGATGATGGTGATCTTTGTTGTTTTGTTTTAAAGGAGACTGAAGCACTAATGGCTCTTTAAGAATTGTTCTCCAAAAATAAAGTGTGGATATAGAAATTATCTAGTGTGGGTCAGGAAATAAGAGATGAATGACTTGAAGTGAAGACAGATAAAGTGGTGACTTCAATAAGTTGTTTTCTGTATAAGTTTCCCAATTATTGATTAATAATAAAATGTTCTTACAGGAAAAAAATAAAGATGATGAATATTAAAAGATACCTGAGAAGGGGGGAGGGTGTAACTCAGTGGTAGAGTGCCTGCTTAGCATGCACGAGGTCCTGGGTTCAATCCCTAGTACCTCCAATTAAAAAAATAAATAAACCTAATTACCCCCCACCCCCACAAGAAGAAAAAAAAAAGTCAACTTTTTTGGGGAAAAAGTTAACTAAAAAAAAATACCCGAGAAAGCTGATGCTGTAAAGTAAAGCCAGGAATGAGGCGAATATAAAATGGAAACCATAAAGATGGACATTTGCCCTAGGTGAGTGCACAGATACTCATTTCTATGTCTTCCTCAACTGTCTCCCCACCCCTCAGATCCCTAGATGATTTGGCAGGAATTACATAGGTTTCTCTCTTCAGTGATACCTGTTGAGCTTAGAAAACAACAGGAACTGTGGGCCAACTGTATTGCAGGGTCTGCAGACACCCAAAGGTGTCCCCACCATCCCCTATTTTATGACACGAGCCTGTTTCAGTTGCATGACTTACCCAAATCTTGTAGATACATTAGTTTGTAACCTAGATGGCCTCTTTTTGGTGTCACAGAGAAGCTGCCCCAGCCCAAAGCAGTCTTACCCCTTTCCTGAATTCCACCAGTCTTAACTTCCATAACATTTGCTTGGCCTTTGAAACATGCCTGGTTGCTGGTTGCTCCTCTTGGTGCCCCATTTAGAAGACAGATGCCTCACATGTTGTAGGGTGGAGGGTTGCTCAGCTTTCTCCCACAGGGCTCTGCCCTTGGTTGGCATTTGGGTCACAGTGGCAGGTTGTTGGCCCATGGGATGGAGAGACTGGACCCCGGTCAGCAGGCGTGGAAGTGCCCCTGGATTGGGGAGTTTGGATGAGAGGCCCAGCGCCAGCGCATCCTGCTTGTGCCTGGCAGAGAAAGCAGTTCCCTCAGACTGGGTCATGCTATCAACACCTGGCGAAGACCCAGCCTTCATAGGCTTGGCCCCATTTAGCCTCAGATCAGGAGGATGATCATATAGCAGGTTGGCCTAGTTTCTCCCTCCAGGGCCTGCTGCCCAGAGGACTTCACAGAAGTGCTGGCTGAGGCTGCAACTCAAGAAAGACTTGGGTGATCACTGGCTTGACTGCTTAACAGCCTACAACTTCTGAATCTCTGATATTAAAAAAAAAAGCTGTCATAATACCTCCCCTCCATGAGCGGTGTTTAGCTTCTCTTTGTTGTCTGCACAGTGTTGAGTACATGGCAGGCATCCGGCATGTGTTACTACCATTTGTTGAGCAGTGGCTGTGTGCTCATTGCTATTCCTGGTGCTTCCCAACAACTCAGAAGTATTATTACCCCCGTTTTGTAGCTGTGGAGGTTCAGAGAGACCAACTCACTCCCCAGTGTCATAACAGCTAAGAAATGACATCTGGGACTTAAAAGTCCAGTGACTCTGTCTCCAGAGCCCTGTTTCTCTCCAAAATGGCCATGAATGGGCCCAAGACTTTAGGGAAAGCGCTCACTCGGTCAACCTCAGACTCCTAAGTTAGTCCCTGCCTGTGTCTGCCAACCCCTTGGGGTTATCTCTGAGGTCAAGCTTAACCCTTCCCAACACACTCCTCCTTTCCCTGGATGGTGGAAAACAGTAGAAGGAATGACTCCAAATATAATTTGGTGATTGAAACCCATGCAGACAAGAAAATGACTCTTGAGCTCTGTCCTTTGCCTACTGCTTGGGGATAGTACACTGCACGTTGGTTTGGTTTTACCCCCCACACTGCTCTTCTTAGGAACTTCTCTCAAAACAAATAATTTTTATTGCATGTGGGAACAGTGCAACTCAGACCCAAGCAGGAAGCAGCAAAGCAGTCACTGGAGGTGAGAAAGTCAGCTGACCTTGAAGCCACTGGCTTCAAAGATGCACATCAGGTTGTTACAAACTGCCAAATCCAGGGGAAGCCTGAGCCCCTGTGTGGACACCAGCTGTGTGGACAGAGTTAGACTTGCTTGCCTGGAGCCGACCTAGCACGAATACCAGCCTCCAGGGTGGCCCTGGGCCAGATGGAAGAGCTACCCAGCTCAACTGTTACATACAGATGCCATTGAAGGAGCAGGGACAGTTCACAGCCAGAGAGGGCCACGTCAGGAATAAAGGAGCAGATCATTCTTACCGTATTCATAGATTAAAAGCTATGCTTTTATCCCTCCACATTTGAACATCTGAAATTGGGATGTATTTTATTTTAATTTTATTTTTTTCCATTTTTTAAAGGTGGAATTATAAGCAGTTTACAACGTGTCAATTTCTGGTGTACCACGTTTCAGTCGTATATATACATACATATATTCCTTTCCATAGGGATGTATTTTATTTTAATTTTTCATAGGGATGTATTTTAGAATTCATTGTGTCTTTAAATTTTTTTCTTGAGAAGTCCACACTAATGGTACAGATTATAATCAGTGGCATCTAGGATTGAATGAAATACAAGTCAGTGTAATTTACATACAATTAAAAGGTCAGTGGGATGGGACAGATAATGTCAGGAGGAGAAGACACCAGAAACAGGTGGTAAATGAAGTGTGAGACACTGAGACAAGAGGGAAGGGGGCAGGGCACAGCCATTCAAGGAATGACAGCAATTGACACCAAAATGATAGAAGATTCAACTCCCAGTAGGCCTTGAGGATTAAGATAGTGGGAGATTTGACTTCTAGTAGAACTTGAGCTTCATTATACACTCATTGTAATATATTAGCGTGGTAAATAACATGCCCACAGGCACCATGACAGTCCCAAGGGTAACCACAAAAGATCAAAGAGTGGGCAGTGGCCCCATTCCTGGGAATCCCAGCCCCTTACCCAGGGTAGTTGGAATAGTCCTCCCACTTGTAGTCATGTGAAGTTACCATGCCCATAAAAACTGGCAATACCACGCCTGGTGGCCGCCTCTCTGGCTCCCTCCTCTTCAGAGACGGTCCTCACTCTATCTATGGAGTTTGTACCTACTTTTACGTTAACCCGAGCACCCAATTCCCACATCTTTCTCTTGCCTTCTGAAACAACCTTCACTCTATGCAGTAGGTATCTCTCTAAATAAATCTACCTTTACTCAACTGTGGCTCGCTCTTGAATTCTTTCCTGAGTGAAGCCAAGGACCCACACTTGGCGGGGCACGTCCCAGGGGCTCCACCGAGACCTGGGGCACGGCCCTTCTCATGCCCTGCATCCGTTTTTCCTGCATAAACATGACAAGGCAAGTGAAGGTATCTGTGAGTCCTTCCTGAAAAAACAGCATGACAATGAAATCCAGCCGACAAAAATCTACTAAAATCACAAAATAGTGAACATTTATAAACATTTACTATGATCCAGGCACTGTCCTAAGTGCTTAACCTGTATAATTTAATCCTCACAACAACCTGATGAAGGAACTATTCTTGCCTGTGTTTTCTAAGTGGAGAAACTGAGGCACAGAGGAGTCAACTAACTAAAGTCAAGCTATATGGACAAATACAAAAATGACAAAAACTGCATGCTGTTCCTCTTCCCTCCCAGAAACAGTGCGGAAGGGCCTACACTTGGTTTCTCATTTTGTAAAAAGGGAGGAGGGGAGGTACGTGTTAGGGGGGTTGGAGGGAGGGTATCGTGGGTGGGAGGTGTCCATCTGGGACTTTTCTGTGGAAAGTGGTGGTCACAATGGCCCGTTTTCTAGGCTCTAAATAATTACTGAGAGGACAGGGACACATCCCCAGATGAGACCAAGACAGTCTGGTTATAGGGTTATAAGCTTCAGAGTCAGGAAATACTTGATTTAAAATCTTTGCTCTAACTACTACTTAGTTGTGTTACCTTGGGTAAGTCCTTTAATGTCTCTGAACCTCCTCTTCCTCCATGGTGAAATTAGACATCATTATAGTACCTAAGGCCCAGGGTTATCAGGATTAAATCAGAGCAAGCCCCAAAAGCATTCAGCATGGGCCCTGGCCTGAGGTTAATATTATGATTATCTTGACACAGCACTTGTCCACAGCAGGGGAAGAGGGGGCCTTGGTTGTTTAGGGTTAGCCCCTTCCCTCAGGCAAATCAGAGAATTTTTTTTAAGTGTGTTGAGCCATTGTTTTAAGTGTTTTTTTTTCTTTCCTTCTTTTGCCCTGAGAGAAATGCCAAAAGCCTTAAAAGCAGCCACACCCCACACTGGGCCTCGTGTGAATGGTCAGATGATCCGGGGGATGGGACTGGAGGCAGGGAAGTGGAGCTTGGCTTCCTGCGCATGCCCTGGAGCCTGGGGAGGAGCCTCCTTCCACTGGCCCAGGGTTTTGCTGGAACTAGTACTTGGGCTGTGGGCAGAGACTGTCAAGGAGGCAGTTTAGCTGCCCTTGGGTGTGACTGATCAGAGCACAAAAGCCCCCTCTCAGGTAGTGGTTGTCCTACCCTGACCTCTGCATCCCGTGCCTCCTCCTATCCTCACACCTGTCATCCATGTACTCATTCCTTCCTTCCTTTGTGCATTCACTCACTCAGGGTGTTCCGAGCATTTGCCATATGCCAGACCCTGCTGGTGCTGGGGAGACCTAGACCCAATTCTTGCCCTCAAAGCATCCAAGGCTAGAAAGCAGGCTAAAACAAACCTGCCAAACTAAACAGCTGTGGAAACAAAAAACAAACAAAATCCCACCTCATAATGGCTGTAATGGGCCACATGCAGGATCACTATTCAAGGCCTTATTTGCTGGGTTTATCATGGGAAGAAAAAGAGAGTTGATTGACGGCAGAGTCTATAGCCAAACTGCCAGGGCAGGCACCCCAGGGCCACACAGAAGTATGTTCCCAGTTGAAAACCGTGAATCTGGTTCAAACCCCTTAATTTTGCTGAAGTCAGTCAACACGATCAAGACAAAGTGAAGTCAGCAGCAGAGCCCAGACTGGGAAAGTGAGGGGCTGTTTCCTTTCACTCCTGTTATTGGAACCACAGCCCCAGCAGTACCCGTAGCAAATGGGACCCTCAAAAGGAGGGGCTGTGGGGGGACCAGAAAGCAGGGAGGATGGAGGGAGACAGCACGAGGTGGGGGAGGGTGGAGGGGAGGGGGAACTGTGCTGTTGTCCTTCCCATGGCCGCCCTACCTGGCTCGTCTTAAGTTCAAAGAACACTCTGGCCCCCTCCTGCTGTGCACACCTCTCCAGGCTCAGTCCTTAGATGGCAGTGGTGCCTGCCCAAGGGCAGAGACAGCAGCCAGTCAATGGCTAAAGAATGGATGAGAGAGATCAAGGGACCAGAAAGGCTTTGATGGTACAGATCTTCCAATCCACTACCCTCCTGATAAATGCATTGTAAATTGAAAACATTCTAAAGAAAATGCATTTAATACACCTAAACCACTGACATCATGGCTGAATCTAGCCCACCTTAAATGTTCTCAAAACACATCAGCCTACAGTTGGGCAAAATCATCGAACACAGCCTGTTTTATAATAAAATGTTAAATATCTCATGTAATTTATTGAAAACTGTACTAAAAGTGACAAACAGAATGGTTGTCTGGGTTCAGGATGGTTGTAAACATATCAGTTATTGATCTTTTTGATCACATGGCTGACCAGGAGCTGTGGCTGCCCTGCCCAGCATCAAAGGAGAGCATCAGACCTTGTATTGCTAGCCTGGGAAAAGGTCAAAATTCAAAATTCGAAGTACAGTTTCTACTAAATGCATATCGCTTTCACCCCATTGTAAAGTGAAAAACTCTTAAGTGGAACCATACAAGTTGGAGACTGTCTGTATTTGTGTACCTGGCTGGAGTCCAGACCAAGACAGACAGGGCCAGTAGCCTTTTCATTTTTCTCCATCCAACTGTTACCATTCAGAGAGGGGGAGCTAAGGTGTATCGAGGAAGGAAGGCTTTAGATGCAACGCTAAGTTTGGAGGATAGGTTGGCATTCACCAGACTGGGTGAAGGGGGCTGTAAAGGTGTAGAGGTGTGAAACAGCTTCTAGGCATTTTAGGGGATCTGAAACACAAAAGCCCAGCAGTGTGGTTACAGGGTTAGTTCTGCTTGTCAGCTTTGTGACAGCCATAGAAGAAGGTACCAGAGAGGTCAAGGAGGACAGAGGGAAGCCAATGACATCATTAAGATTTTTTCTGCTTTGCATCATAGAATTCGTTATCGTTTAGTATCACCACAGGATATTTCAGAATGGTTTATCTAGTGATACTAATAATAGCTAATATTTACTCTCACTTACACTTCCTATATTTTACCTTTCTTAATTCTTACAATAATCTTGTGGGAATGGTCCAACTCTCATCATCATTGTTATTTTACAGAAGAGGAAACTGAGGCATGGAGAGGGTCACAACTTTCTCGAGGCAGCACAGCTAGTACATGGCAGAGCTGGGACTTGGGCAGGCAGGCTCTCGGAGCTGCACCTCTGACTGCTGTGCCGCTGGCCCTTTGACGACTTCGGAGGACTAGCTATGAGCTTCAGCATGGGAAGAAGTCCCTGTATCGAGGGAGCTTTCAGTCTAATGGGACATTTAAGGTTGCTCCCTCTTTTCTCCTGTTAAAAATAGCTCCCGGACAAACAAAGCTGTGATAACCCTAAAGATGGACTGATGGATCAAAATTTTACTTTGCAGCTCTTTTGCATGCTGCCAGCTTGCTTTCCAAAAGTGTCGAGTCCATTTAAATTGCAGCGGCTGCGTGTGTGTGGGTGTGATGACTTCACTGCAGCCTCCCCAGCACTGGGTATGATCTTATGAAAGGAACATTTGGTACCCAGCTTGCTCAACAGGCAGCTGCCTCCTCCTTGTGTTTTACATCCCCAACCCAGGTCTTGAATGAAGGGAAAAGCTGGCGAAACATGGATGAAATACTATGCTGTGGAGAGGACAGAGGACCCAGGCAGGCTTGTCAGGTCAGCTAGGGTCATGGAGTTTTTGCGTTTAGACTGTGAAAGCTACTATCTCTCCTTTGTCTATTAGAAAAGTGTTTCCTTGAGGCAATGGAATTTCAAAAGCCAGAGGTACAGGTAGAGAACATACAATCTCGAATAAAAATGTGCAAGTGAAAAAGGAAAGAAGGTGGATGGACAAATGTCCCATTCCCCCCAAAATATTTCACTGACAGTAAATGTTCCCTGTCATCATTTAGTGCTACCAACCTCCCTCTTTGTACCCACATCTCTTCTGGCATCTGTCTCATTGTATTGTGATTGTTTATGCTTCTGTCTTCGAGAGCAGACCATGAGGCTGGACCAAAGTGCAGGGACACCTTTCCATTTAGTTTCTTAGGGTAGACAGGGACACATAGTGTGTGGCTCAAGGGACCACAGAAGGTTCTGTGAGGATGCTCTGTGAACTGGTCTGAACACTCCCCCCACAGATAGAAGATGCTAGTTACTAATGCTCGTGGTGCAGTCATTCTGAGGAAGAAGAATCACCCATACTCATTTTTGTTGGGAGGGGATGGGCAGGAGGAAGACAAGCTCTTTAAAGCCACCTTGGGCTGTAACAGGGTTCCAACTCTAAGAAGCCCTGTGTGCATGGTGCTGAGGAGAAAGGGGACCCAGTTCCTGTCCTCTGTTTCTCTTCTCACCCCGCCACCCTGTGCCTGGTCCAGAGCTAAGGGGCTTGACTGACCCCTACCACTCACTGGAAACCAGTCGAATGGACCCAGCACCCTGCATTTAGAGCATCAGCAGACACACTCCCATCTGAGCCCTGTGGCAGTGGAGGTGGCCTGATGTGCATTTGGAGAGAATTGTTTCTCTACCTTTGTCTCTGCCTATAAAAGGAGGTAAAGGGAAGTATGTTTCCAAAGCCAGTCAGCAGGGCTGCGAGGCTGCCAAAGAGAGGCTTTGTGAGTCCCTGGCTGCCTGGTGGTCCCCCAGGGTGGGACAAGTGTCAGTTCTGATGGCCAGAGGGTGGTGGAGGTGTTTGATGGCAAATAAGGAATTTTTGGGGGGTCAGATGAGCCAGCAGGACCCCAGGGGCTGGGCACAAAGGCAGAAGCTTTAGACCGGGCTGCTTTCTGGTTGGGGGAGGTGAGGGGCAGGCCAGGGGGGCAGGGGAGCAGGGGGCGAGACAGGGATAATGGGAGGCTGACATCTGGAACTGCTCCATGCATTGGCCGCTGCAGCCCGCCCTGCGCCCGTCAGCCCTTTGCCATCACAAGCCTTTAAAGGGAGTAGCAGAAGAGTGCATTTCCTTTGCTGTTACAGTTCCACTTTGAGAAAAAAATTATTCCCCAGAGATGTTCCCACAGTGAACGCTGGATGTGTACTGTAAAGGTAAAACCAGAAACTCCCTAACTGTCCATCTGAAAGGACCGTGTTAACCATATGTGGGTGTTAGGGGCCTTCACAAGGAAATACAACTGAAGGAAGAGAATAGAGCAAGTTCTAGAATAGAATGCTAACAGTATAGTTGAAAAACCTTGGAAGGATTTATACTGAGCTGTTAACAGTGAGAGTAGGGAGAGAACTGAACTTTCAGTTCCAATTTTATTTTGTTCATTTCAATCTTGTTTGGATCTTTTACAGTAAATATTTAAAAAATTAAACAAATGCTAAAGACACACAACAAGTTTCTTTTGTATAGCACAGGGATCTATATTCAATATCTTGGTAACCTATAATGAAAAAGAATATGAAAAGGAATATATGTATGTGCATGTATGACTGAAACATTATGCTGTATACCAGAAATTCACACCACATTGTAAAATGACTGTACTTCAGTTAAAAAAAAATCCTAAAGACAAATTGATGCTCTCAAATCTGTAACCAAGTTATCCCAGGAAGGGCACCTGCTTCCCTCTTTATTCTGGCCACATGCTCTTCGGTGGGGACTTGTGAGTTGTCCCTCTACCACTCTGCTGTGTTTCTCGGAAGTTAGCCCTTCTGAGCTTCAGTGTGTCCACCAATACAACACAGGCAGAACCACCTCTGATGCTCTGGGGCCTCTGGGAAGTGGGATGGGAGGTGGATAAGGTGACACCACGTTAGCAAAACAGCAAAGAGAGGCCTTGCAGCAGCCTGGCTCCGTGGCCACCCAGATGTGGGTTCAGAGTCAGACACGGCCTGGAGGTGGAGGAGGGGGAGAGGAAGGAAAGAGAGTAGGAGAGGAGAGCTAGTTTCTTTTGAACTCAGCCCCTCCTCCATCTGACCCTCTCACTGACCTTCCTACTGGCTCCTGACATCTTCATGTCACTCAGGCCCACTGCTTCCTTCCCTGACGCTGCTCCCTCCTTCTCTGGAGCCCCGTATTCCTGGGTCTCTCCGGCTACCTCCAGCCCAACAAACCTGGGCTGTACAGGCTGCTTGTAGCTTCTCTGAGACCATGCCACTCACACCTTTGGACCAGGTGACAAAAGTGTCCCCTTTATCAGCAAAAAGTGAGAATTTTGGAGAGACAAAGAAATGCAGTCCACAGACATCCCAGGGCCAATTCAGAAGCTGAGAGAAGACTGGATGGGCTTGAATGGGCATGGGAGGCTGGTGGCCTCTGCGACCCGGGATACCAGTACAGGCCCCAGGCCGCAGTGAGTAGGATGTGGGGTGTGAGTGGGGATGGTTGGGGGAGGGGTCAGAGAGTTGGATCCCAGGGCAATCCAGTGCCAGGATGAGGTGTCCCAAATTGGGCAGCTGAACTTGAGATGCCCCAGGGAGACCAGTGGTCTCAGGGCTGCCCAGGCAAGCCCAGCCACCAGGGACCTGAGCTCACACATTCTGAACTCCTGTGGTCAGGGCTTTAGAGGTTCCTAGACACTGCCTGTCAGACGTGTCCTGACCGCCTGGCACTCAGTGACTCCTCAGATACTTGCCACGTGAGTGAGCCAGGAAAGAAATCCAGATGCCCTTCGCACTCGCATCCTGCGATGGGCCACTGCTGCAGAACAGGCCACTGGCCTGATCCGGTCTCCCCACGCGCAGGCCCAGCCGGAGGAGCCGCAGATGCGGCGCGAGCGGGCGTCCAGGGTGACTCCCAGGCGCCGCCTTGCGGCCCCGCTCCCGTTCTCAGCCGTCGCCGGGGATCGCCGGCGGCGTCTCTGACTTTGGCCTCGGCTCTGACTGCTGTGACTCATCTCCGGGAGGAGAAGAAAGGGGCCTTTGTGGTCCCCGCGCTGGCCAGAGGCTGGCGGGTCTCTTGAGCAGCACCGCCCCCCGGTGGCCGCGGCGCCCCAGAGGCCTTGTCGATGGATAGCCACCTCCCAGAGGGTGTGCGTGGTCGGCCTCCTTTGGTGAAGCCTCAACAAAGGATGGGATTGTTCGTCCAACCCGCCCAGGGAAAGGGCAAATTCGGGCACCGGGACCGCGCTCCTGGGGAGGCCTCTCACTGCCCCACGGCTGCGAAGAGGGGCACGCCTTTTCTGGTGGAAGCCTGGCTCGGGTTCCTGCTTTCCGCATCCCCGAGACCACGTGTCTGCTGCGTTTTAAAAATAGAGGCGAACATCTGCTCTTCCCCTTTTGTGAGTGGCCTATTCATATCGCTTGTCCGTTTTTCTCTTTTCTCTTTTTCCCCCTTATTGATGTTTAGAAGCTCTGGAACACATCCAGTTCGTCATATGTGCTGCAAATATTTTTCTAAGATTCGAATTTACCTCGATTTTGGTTTTGGTGATTTTGGACACATACACTTTACGTTTTTCATGTGGTCTGACCTTTTGATGTTTTGCTTTAGTCGTTCCCCCTTTGCTTTCTGCGTATAGGACTGTTTCCATCCTAGTATCAAAGATTTCCCCAATTTTCTTCTAGATCTCTATTTTTTTCTTTTCTTCCCCACCCCACCCTCCTCTTTTTCCTTCTCCTCCTCCTCCGTTAGATTTTAAATCCTGGAATTATTTTTGATATAAGGTGCGATGTAAAGATCTAAGCTAATTTTTTCTTTTTTCCAAGTAGTTAGTGAATTTCCCAAATACTATCATTCAGCCTTTCTCCTTTAGGAGAGTATTTCCTTACTGGTTTGAAATACCACCTGGATTAGGGACTAAATGCTTGGGCCTATTTCTGACCAGGACCCCGACCTTATACACTGTGTCAAAGAGCATAAACTTCTTCTTCTTTTTAAAAATAATGTATTAGGCCACTGATCATGGATTTAGGAAATATTTTCAATTCACATTCTTTAAGGTCCAGCTAAAAATGCAGTCTTGAGTGAAACATCTGCACATGAAAACTGGATGGGAAATATTTCATTTAGAAGGACATGAACATTTTAAATTCTTATAGTACAAAATGCCAAACCTTCCTCCAGAATGGCTAGACTAATTTATATTCCACCAGAAGAAAATGAGAATGCCTTTTCAGTATACTCATACCAAGGTTGAGTATTATTTGTAAAAACAGGTTCCAATTTGAAAGACAAAAAATACTACTTCTGTTACGGAAACAACAGGCCAGCCAAGAAACAAGCACCACTTGGAGGGTTGGATTACTCAGATGTATTACGCCGGCGGGCTCAGAGGGGCTTCTTCTCTGAAGTTCTGAGCACCTCCAAGATGTGTGCATGAGGTTTTATAGGGTTAAGTACAAGCTTGGGGTATTCGGCCAATAGGCATGGAACAGCTTTAGCAGCATCATTATCACAAAAGTGGAGGCAGGGAGGCAGCAAACCAACATTCCAAAGCCAGATATATCTCTTTGAAAATCCAGCTGGCTAGCAAAAAAACATGAACAGCAAACCAACACTAATTAACTTAGATTTACGAGTTAGTCCAGCAGGACTCAGATCAGTATTCCGATACTTAGATTTGTGAGTTATCTTGTTAGCCCAGACCGGCTTTTCCTTCACACTTCGTTGTTCTCAATTAATTTGCAGTTCTTTGGTGCTGGGGAACCCCTTTTGGCAGGACTACCTGGGTCAGGGTGGCAGCTGACCTGTTTCCTGTGCATCTCACCTGAGACTTGCCTTTATCACTTCTCTCTACTCCTGATGAATAGATGTGACCATGATTTTTTTTTTCACCATGATTTGTTTTTTACTTTTAGAACTTTATTGTAACTGTGGGAGACTGGTGGTAAAACATATGGTTTAAAAAACAGTATGTTGCTGCACTTAAATTCACGTAAAAACAGTATTTTTACAGCCATATTGAAATTTAATCCTTTTACACAGGTTACAAAATGTATCACAAGAAAAACTAAACATTAGGTTTAACAAAAGCAGTAATTTTGAAAGTGGAACCATGAAAAACTTTTTTTTCAAATTTTTTATAAACGGTCACCTCTAGGTCAATTTACCACACTAGGGGAACAAAGGTGTTAAAATACAGCTGAGCTCAACTGAGCTGCTTATCTGCACTATAGCACAGTACTTGAAATCAATCCTAAAGTCAAGATTTAAAACCATTTTAGTAGTCAAGACCCTAAGTGTTTTACAGCCACCTTAGGAACAGGTACTTTTCCTTCCCCAAACAGTCAAAGCTTAATTAAAAGATTGACTATACACAAGTTTTGTTTCCTAATCATATCTTCAGTTCAAAATACGACTATCATTGGTAATACAGTCTGTATCTTGTCTGATCTGGATGATGTGGTCCAGGAAGTGGGCTTTGAGAATGCAGACCCTGCATTTATGGAGGAAGAGGTGGCCCTCTTGGTGCAGGCCATATACCAGAGCTCATTCCCACTGGTTGTGTAAATGGAGGTCTCAGAGCTCCCTGATCTTCAGTGAACTGGGTTAGAGAGTTGGATTATACTGGTGAGGAGTGGGTACAGTTATGAGTGACCACCATATTGAGATGGGGGAGGTCCAGGAGAAGGATGATTCATATAAGTTGGCGTCTGGGCAATAATATGTCCAGGGGGAGGGGTTTTTGGTGGTGGAGCAGGGGTCATTGGTGGAGGTAGAGCTTGGTTACAAACCAAGTGAGGAGTACCTGTAGCCTGGGGAGGATGTGGTATGGGATGGCTTATTGATGGTGGAGGAGTGGGGGGGGGGTGCATAACGTTGCCAGGAAGGCATAATACGATGAGAGTGGGATACCACTGGTTGACCCTGATACTCAGGATGATGGTGAGCAGGTGCTGGGGTAGGAGGTGGTGAATCTGAGTCATCCTGAATAGGGACAGTTATTAAATTGGTGTGTTTTCTTGTAGAAATACCAAAGGTTTCCTGACTGACCGAAGGAGGTAGGGGTGGAGCCATGGCCAATTCTGCTAGAAGAGCACACATATCCTCATGTGGCTGATTATAGTGCTCGAGTGGCATGTGTTACAAAGGAGGTGGTGGCATCATGATGTGCTGTTTTGGCAAACTGTGGCTAATGTGGTGCTTGTCTGGCGGCAGTATAAACCGATCCTGGATTTCAGCTGGTGGTGGGGCAATAGGATGATGAACATTCTCTAGTGAAGCACGGGGAACAGGTTTTCCAGCTCTCATATGGCAGTGGTTGATATGAACTTGTAAGTCTCTCTGAGACAAATACGTTCTCTTGCACCCTTGAAGAATGCTACACAAGAAGAGAGAATCGCATTCTCTCACTGCTCAGTTCGTTGCATGGGATCACTACGGCCTGGACACATCTTATCTCCCTTTTTTTCATGTAAAATAGCACAGTCATAGCAAACACACATGCTTGCATGGAATTATTTGCCCATAGATTTTAATAGACAATCCACATTTGTCACAGAAATGAACTGGTGTATCATCCTCTCACCTAAAATGTTTAGTTGAAAGTCCCCCCCAAAAAGTGTCCGGGAAGTCGATGATTTCCAAATACTTCGCCCCCTTTACAATCATACCGTTCTTCTTCATTATAATCAAATCCTTCTTCATCACCAGGTGGACCCTTTGCTGGCATTCTGTTTATAGTCCTTGGAATTCCAGATGAAGCTTTGGCTTTGTTTCCTTGTTTGGAGATGAGTTTTATAGGAATTCATCTTCGAACATCAAGACCATACACTGATCCAGAACTATTACTGCCTCGTAACTCAGTGTAAGCGTGATCCATGATTCGCTTCGGCTCGCAGGGCACAGTGGGAGCGGAAGTCAACAACGCCGGAGTCTCAGGGAGCGCATGCGCGCTATCTTCCGGAGCCCGGGAGGCGGAAGTGCGACCCGGTTGTCCGGGTTGGGGTCGCCAAAAGCTTCTTTCTGTCGCGTCACGTCGGCTACCCGACCCCACTGAGGGAGTCAGGCATAGTTCAGGCAGAGGGAGAAAGAGCGAGTATGCAGAGAGTTTCCATGTCGAGGTGGCTAAGGCAGGAGGAAGTAGCCTTTAACTATTGAGAGGAGACCGACAGGAACGGGGGAGAGGGAGAGCGGCAGTAGTGGGAGGACTAAGCTCACGGCAGGTAAGGCGGCCACCTCTTTTTTTTTTTATTGAAGTGAAATTCACATAACATTAAATTAGTCATTTAAGTGAACAATTCATTGGCATTTAGCATATTCACAGTGTTGTGCAACCATCACCTTTATTTAGTTTCAAAACATTTTCATCGTCCCCGAAGGAGACCCTGTATCCATTAAGCGGTCATTGTCCATTCCTCTCTACCCACAGCCTGGCAACCATGAATCAGCTTTCTGTCTCAGTGGATTTAACTATTCTGGATATTTTATGTAAATGGAATCATACATGATGTGACCTTTCTGTTTGGTTTCCTTCTCTTAGCATAATGTTTTTGAGGTTCATCTGTGTGTAGCATATATCAGTACTTCATTCCTTTTTATTACTGAATAAAAAGGAATGGACCACAACTTGGTTATCGATTCCTCCACTGATGGACCTTTGGGTTGTTTCCACCTTTCGGCTGTTGTGAATAGTGCTGCTATGAACAGTCATAGAGACTGATTCTTAGGAAGTCATGATTGGGTAGTAATGATCTGACAAAACAAGTTTTCTAACCGGTGAATTTTTTAATATGAACATTTCATGGTGTTATAAAAGCAAATCAGAGTTTGACATACACTTAATGAAATCGATTTTATTGATTTCCAGGAACATCTTGTTAACCAAAAAACAAACAAACAAAGAAACAAACAAACGAACAAAACAAGAGTCCCTGTAGAGAGTAGAGAAGAGAATGAGCATTTGTTGAGCACTGATGTATTGGACCTAATTCACGGTAGCAGATGCTATTCCTGGCCCACCAGGAGTCACCTGCAGATAACAGCTTCTTGTATCTCTGCTTCAGGACATTCCTTGGATGTGAAGCCCACACAGGGGCAGCTCAGAAGTACCTAGGGGTGTCCAGTACCCGAGGTGTGATCCTTAACCAACGAGGAGCATCTCCTCACCCCTCTGCTGAATCCTGACATGTGTTCTGTGCAGTAGGTAACCCCATTTGCCCACAGTGGTCACTTGCTTATGAATGCAGACTTCAGTGGCTTTCCTCCCTTCTCCTCCCTCCCTGCATGTTGGATTTCTGACTCCTCCCTTTGGTTGGTTGGTTGTTTCTTACCCTGAGCAACTCACTTACACCCTGGGCCTTAGGGACCTCATTTGTAACATAGGGATAGTCATAGTACTTG